AATCACATTAGATGCAGACATAATTGTATATGATTTTGTAAACAAAAAGAGCAACGTCTTCTCTAACCCACAGATTTGTCTGCTACATTCCAGTGCATTGTACGTGTCAGGCTTCCTCTTGTACAAACAGAGTCCTTAAGCAGCATTTAAAACCACATCATCCGTCTATATTAAACAGTTTGTCATTTATAAAGTCTTTCATGAGGTGTTATGTTTTTATTAAGTGGCTCCACAGTGTTTGACCCAAGAGCTGCATAACTGAATCATTTGTATCCAAGCCAGTAAATCAAAGTTTTGTTATTTTAATTCATCTCTTTTTTTTTTTTTACCATAGTTGTCACTTAATTTTTTTTTCCCTTTCTGGAGTTTAGTTCTGGCCTGGAAAGTCTATTTGTTGGATGCCACGTTGCAGCGAGTGTGTCGTTGAAGTACATGTAAGATTAAGTGTGTGTGCAGTTGCTGTTATCTGTCATTTTGAGAGTGTGTGTGCGTGTGTGCTGGAGCTCTAAGTCGGATGTGGACGTTTGAGTGTCCAGTTTCCAGTGACCTTTGACCCCATAGAGCTAATTAGTGATATCCCCACTAACACCACTGAGAACATCACATTCTGTGGCATTTGTTCAATCATTATTCATTTATAAAGACTGTGGTTCACCTGTTTCTGTCTTGTTTCTATCACCAGAAGAGTTCAAGACAAATGAGATGCAGTCAGTTATTGCCAAACACTTTTGAAACTGATATCATGATGGTCATTATTTCTTCATATTATGTTTATGTACATAATTTAGTAAAAAATGTTGAAGGGTAGTGTGTCTGTACGATATTTCAGTGTTTTATTCTGCTTTCCAAGGACCTTGTTTATTTTACTTTTGTTTGATTACTGCTAACAATACTTATATTTTAAAATATTTTACAATTAACATGACTGTTTTATATTTTAAAGTGCAGTTTATTCATGTGATGGCATCGGTAAATGTTTAGCATTATTATTATTTTAGTTATCAGAGTCGTTTGGTTCTTCAATGATTATTCAAATATTTTTTTTCAATGGTATCATGTTTAATTCCAATTTTTTAAGGATTCTTTGATTCTTAATGTAAAACAGATTTTGAAATTACTTTATTTTGATGGTCTCTTAAACACATTTTGTTGTTTTGTAGACTGTAAGGTTGGGTTTAGAGTTAGTTTAAGTTGACATGTTATTGCAAAGTTTCTTAAAGTCAGTTGATTGTCTGAGGAGCAGTGTCAGCAGATAATAAGCAAATAGTCTACTAATACTCTAATGAGAATTATGGGCATGCAGATGAAACTAAACTATAAGTTTAGTTTCCTAACTTATAGGAAACTAAATATGCAAAAGGGACCATCAAAATAAAGTAATACCCTGATTGTTTTACCCTGTTGTTGAAAAAAAGAGTCAATAAGATTATTATTGTGTGTATTATTATTATTTTTTTTTAAATTATTAATTACGTTTTTCTTTTCAAAATTATTCTCAAAAATTTGTCAAAAAAACTTCAAAATTAATGTGCAAATACATTCAAACACAGTATAAAGTAGGGCAATAAATAAAAACATGGAACATAAACATTAATATGCATTTTTTAAATTATTTGTATGAATTTTTAATTTATTTTAATATTAATAATTTTAAGACTTACAGACTTATTTAGTGATTCAGATTGCTTTTATGTAATTATAATTATATTTATACAAAACTGTCCTAAGACAAGAATTGGTGATGGTGAATCATTTTAGGACAACTTTGATGAAAGGCTTTGATCCACTCCAAATGTTGATCACTTTATTCATTTATTCATTCATTTTCTTTTCGGCTTAGTCCCTTTATTAATCTGGGGTCGCCACCGCGGAATGAACCGCCAACTTATCCAGCACGTTTTTACGCAGCGGATGCCCTTCCAGCTGCAACCCATCTTTGGGAAACATCCATCCACACACACTCATTCACACACACACACACACACACACACACACACACACACACACACACACACACTACGGACAATTTGGCCTACCCAATTCACCTATACTGCATGTCTTTGGACTGTGGGGGAGCTGTTCGGAGCAAAGGAAACCCACGCGAACGCAGAGAACATGCAAACTCCACACAGAAACGCCGAGGCTCGAACCAGCGACACAGCGACCTTCTTACTGTGAGGCGACAGCACTACTTACTGCGCCACTGCCTCGCCGTTGATCACTTTATTTATATTTATAATTTAAAAGTAATTTAAAGATTTTGAGAGATAATTGCTCATGGCTACATATTTCATAACATAGTGATAGAATGTTTTTTTTTTTTGCTGTATTTTATATTGTTTTTCAGTTATGTTAAGTAAAAGGGATTGAAAGATTTTTAGAGATGCTCATTGCAAATATATAAAAATCAATGTGTGTTTGTTTTGTTATTTTTAATAACTATTTGTAATTGTTTTGATTATTAATTATTATATTCAATGTTTTTTTTTTACAGCAGACATTTTATATATACTCCAAATGTATTCATATATCAACATCTCAGATAAATAAGATTTATGCTGATCATATCTGGCTTATTTTCATAATTTTATTGAATACAGTACAGTGACTGTTCTGTAACCTGTCTGTTTATCTTTCTGGGCTTTAATGTCAGGGAAGATGAGGGAGCTCAGTCTGCTAGTGACTGAAAAACAGTGGCTATTTTAAGCTCTTCACATAATGCTGCACCAGGACAAGACTATTAATCTTATATCCCACTTTTATTTTCTTTTGACTGGCCCACCCACCAAGAAGAGAAAGAGAGAGATAGTCAGTACGACTGTATGGCCTTATTACCGTATCCTCCTACTTCATGTATATATACCTGCACTGTGCATTCATCTAAAGATTCGTTCAATTACTTCAGCTGAAGATCATTGAAAACAACTCTTGTCTGATTTATAACACCTGCAGTGTCTGTAAAACCTGATATGCTCCTGCAAGAAACCAGATCTGTCCATTCATCTGTCAGGTTAAGAACTATGGCAAGGTTAAAATACCTTGTGGTAATTTGCTGTGGTAGAGACAGAGGAGAGATGCTGTTTGTAAGCCACCGGAACTGTGAGGTGTCAGAGGGCAGATCTCTGGAGATTTCCCTTCCTTCTTTGGTCATCTCGCAATTTAGCACTTGAACGTTTCTTGCTTTTCGCAATTACACGCAATCTTTAATCAGCGTTTAAACTACGGGCATGATAGGATGATGGGATTGGGCACTAAATTCTGAGGAGAGAGCAGAAACCCCCGCGTGTGTCCTAGCTATCATCACCTGATTTAAAACCACTCTTGAGTCGCCTTCACCCTCGCCACTTAGAGCGCGCACAGATCGGGATGTTTTGGCTTGAATTAGTCGGCTGTATTAGCAACCGGTGTGGGGTACCATTAAAAAAGCAAAACATGGGGTTTGGGGACGCGGAGTATCCATTTCACGTGCCCCTCCGGAGGCGCCAGTGGGCCATTTGAGACGCTCCTCGTGGGATTAGAGGGCATCAGTGCTGAAAGCTGCCCTGGCTCTCCCATCACTGTACCAGTTTATGATTCCCGCTGTTCCAGTGCGCGCACAACCGCTATTTCCGACCAAAGACCCGCAAAAAACACTCAGATTCAACTTGGCAACTCAGAGGAATTCAGAGGGCACGTGCGACTGCCTTTTTGCTCGTGTGTTACGTTAATTTATTGTTTATTTGTTATTTTACGCACGCACGTGCGTCATGATTTTGCCAAGTACGATGCGATCCGGGATTAGCATGCTTATCCTGGAACATCTTTTTTGTTCAAAAATGTAATCCACACCTATATCCATTACATCTAAACCCAACTATAACTGTAATTTATTCCCAAAATCAGAGGGGAATAATAGTTGGATAGCAATCATGGAGAAGTGCATAAACCTGACCGTAAAGCTAAACTTCACATAAACAATATACATATCCCTTAATTCTGATTGGCTGATTGGAATGTTGTTGCAGGATCAACATAGATGTTTATCCAGTCCTACTTAATGAAATCAGGTTGGCTTTTTACGCACATTTATTCTTTCTTTTGTCAGCACTGAGCAGTTGTTATATCTGTAAATAATAATGCAACATGCTTTGTAAAAGTAGAATAAATGTTGGTAAGGTTTAAATAATAAAAATGTAATTGTTATAACGTTACAGTTACAAATCGTGTTCTTCTAAAAGCTCAGTTCTGCATTCTGTTTATTATTATATTGCTTTAAGCTATTAGATTATATGCTTGGATTCATAACTGTGTATCTGAAATATAATGTTTAAAAGAAAGCAACCCAACTGCACTCTTTAGTTATCTTGAATAGGAAATATTGAAAACAAGGTTTCAGTAAATGTCGTGTAATTTTTTAAGAAAGGTTGAGGGACTTTTATTGCTTTAAGTAGCAAGGTAGCAAAGAGCTGAAATGTGCTCTTTAAAAAGTTTTTAAAATTACAATTAAACCATTTGAAATCTATTTTATATTTTATGTTAAATTATTTTAGTCGTTTTCTCCACAAATACCAATTTAATAAAAACTAATATAATGATACTAATTTTTTTAGAACAATCTAAATCGGAATTCTGAAAAAATCTCCATTCAATTATTGCACAAGTAACAAAATAAACGTATTGCTAGTGCAAAGTGAGTAAAACACTACACAGTAACAATTTGTTTAAAAAAACAACGGAAAATGTTTTCTGCTAGCAACAGCATATCCATCTATTATTCAGCTCTAAAACTCAAAGTAAAGTAATGCAACATTGAAATACAGACAAAACGCTCGAGTGCAATGAATTTTCAGTTCTGGTGCATAATAAACGCTAGTAAATAATGCACTGTAACTATGCAAAGTGATGCACAATTGTCTTAATCTGAGCAGGTTTAGTATTTGCCTCTAGGAGTGTGTTGCCGCGTGCGCGGGCACGCCCCTGAGAGCCAGAGATAAATGCTAAGATCCTTTAGCTCACGAGTTACAAGTTATGCTCATCCTCAGCTCGCGCATGACACGTTTCCACATAGCCAGTTGCTTCATCTCCACGTCCAGTCAGAGAACCTCAAACTCCCATCTCCTCAAGAAGTCCTTTTCTCCACTCCACCCTTGTCTCCAGCCAACATGTCCACCGGGTCCATCAGCGATGTGGATGAATTTCACGAATCTGAGCTGCTGGATGGTCTTCTGAAATTCGGTTCCGGTAAAGACCCGGGGACATCAAACGAGAGCACGGAGGACAGCTCGAACTGCGAAGGCGCGTCGGTGTCAGAATGTACAGGAAAGAGGCGCAAATCAGCCAATATGCGCAGATCAGCGCCCAATGGTGTGGCCCAAGAGGGCAAGCAGGTCCAGAGGAACGCAGCTAACGCGCGCGAGAGGGCGAGGATGCGCGTGCTCAGCAAAGCCTTCTCCCGGCTGAAGACGACGTTACCGTGGGTCCCGCCGGACACCAAACTCTCCAAGCTGGACACTCTGCGGCTGGCCTCCAGCTACATCGCGCACCTGCGACAGATACTCGCCAATGACAAATATGGGAATGGCTACATACATCCCGTCAACCTGGTGAGACACTTCTTGCAATCAGAATTAATATTGAGTTTTCATAAATTCATTTTGGTTTTCCGATTCGGTTAATCTAATGTTGTTTGGCACCACTTGTACTCTGAGGGCATTTTTTAGTGTATTGACTTGTGTATAAACGGTTAATTGGCACACTTAAAATATTTAAATCACGTTGAAAATTATTAGGTCTTCCAAAATGTATTACGACTGCTAATGCCGCATTTAGGTCTGTTTTAAACAAAGTTTTGTGGAATATCTTAAGTATCAATTCGATAAATTTAGCAAACATTTTTCTCTATTAATTGTAAGTGTTTACTAATTTTTATGTAAATTATATAATTTTTTTTAATATAATGTTTCCACAGACGTGGCCGTTTATGGTGGCTGGCAAACCAGAAAATGAACTCAAAGAAATGCTGAATTCTACACGTTTATGCGGGACTACAGCTTCCTGAGACTCAAGATGGACTTAAAACATGGACCTATTTTAAATAGTTTATTTCTAAAAAGAGTGACATTTCATCTCTTACCCAAACACACGAGTGGGAATAACTGGGGACAACATCCTCACTCGCATTCCTGTAAAGAGAAAGTGATATCTATTTAAATGTTCACACGTGGGCCTTGCTGGTTCAAGGCAACAGTGTGTGATGTTTTTTTTTTTTTTTTTTTTTTTTCAATTCAACTACTTTTATGAAGATTGTCATCACTTTTTTTAATTAAAAATCACGAGACGTCATTATACTGGGCTTTTTGGTGACGCCGAGTGTCATGTCACGCGCCTTTGTTGTTGGCATTAGAATAATTGTAAATAAAACAAATATTGAAGTTATAGTTTCAAATGAAGCACTTCACCTCTTTAATCAAGCATGGATGGAGGGTTCATGTTTATTCACTTCGCTCTGACCTGTGTGAACCTTGTTATCATATTGCCCCACCTTTTTCTCTCAAGATCTCTGGCGAGAGGACATGTCACCCTGTCACCCTGCCTGCGAAAGATAAAATGATTAATTCTCTTCATCGGAAGAAACGTAAACCTTCCCTTTATCATGATATATCATGCATCAGATAAGCATGGTTTTACGCGTCTTTGGAAATCTGAATTTCCCAAAAGTGACTGAGAAAAATACTTTAAAAAACGCATTGCTCCATAACAGCTCCTTTTTAATTATAGCTATAGTCAAACCAAGAAAAAAGTAGTCTGACGTGATCCGTGTTTAAGGTCAGTTGTTTTTAGACCAGTAAATCGCGCGGCTCTTAATCTCACTGTGCAGCCGTTGTTTAATTTCGCGCGGGGTTGTGACCGCTATGTTTATAGCGCTCGGACAGATATTTATGCGTCACTCCTCTGAGGGGCGCGAGAGCACGAGTTACCCGGAGTTACCGATGATAGGACGCCCGGTGTCTCAACCACGCCGCGGCCTTGCAGCTTAGGAAAACACTGCCCCCGCGCATAAAACAGTATTCCACATTAAACTAGTCATCACTGTTCACTCGCAGAATTACAGAAATCCGCGCGGTGAGACGAAACGGTTTGATATGGCGCAAGACAATAACAAGCCCGCCGCCACCATCCATCACGCGCTGTTATTGTAAGGAGAGGCTGAGGGTGATCTGCGAGAGACTGAGAGAGCGAGGGAGGCTTAAACACACACTCACACATATACGCACACACAGACACACGCTTGGCCAATAAAGTAGCTTTAAACATTGTGAAAACCTTTGATACGTCTGAATATAGCATGGTTATATCATATAATATATGAATGATATAGACCATTTTGAGGGATCTAAACAAAACAATGGTCCCAACGTATTTCCTGTTTTACATTTTTAATTTTTCAAGCTTCCGAGAATGCAAAAGAGCCACTTATTGATAAATAATTTTATGATAGCTGTTTTAACATGAAGTTATGATTGAATTGCCTCTAGTTACAGTTATGAAATAGTTTGAGAACAAGCAGGAAATGTTCATGGACCAATGACATGACCGCATTGAAATATAGGCCTACATACATAATCACTTAAGATTCTTTTGCTTACCATTTGCAGACTTTTACTTGTTTTTGGGGAAAAACTCTTATTTTTGACTTATTATTTCTTAAACAAGAACATAGTTTTTTTATTGTCTGTAAAATGTCTCGTGATTTAACTATTTTTACATGGCATGTTTGGACTAGAAACAAGACGAAAACTCTAAATAAGAAAAGCATTTGCAGTGCAGTTTTCACTTTAAAAATTAGCAATTGAGGACATTATAAATTGAATTAATTGAAGACAACATATGTAAAACGTCTATTAGCTGTCATGATTGAAATCTGTAGGCCTGAGTGATCTTATAGGCCCTCAAAGTTTTAAGCTATTATTATTAATGTGATTTTTGTTGTTGAAGATGAAATCCACTTAATTATACAGTTCAACCCCCGCCAAAAAACCTATTCCGTCAAAAACATAGGCCTACACTGTAAAAAAATCCTGGTTGCCTTAAATTCTTAAGCTGAATCAAATTGCATAACTTATACAATTAAGTTAGAACATGATTAACATGAACATGATTAAGTTTAATTAGTTACAATGACCTAAAAACTTGTGCTGTCAAGACTAATTCATCATATATTTTTTACAGTGTGCGGGTTTTTTTGCCCCTTTCCTAGCTTAATAAGAACTTTCAAACCAACAGCTTTGTAACACCTTGTACAACATAACATGTATCTTCACTAATTTGTAAAAGGACGATCTTTCATTAGAAAATTAGTAAATAAAATTTCTCCTGGTTTAATTTAACACGTTTAAGTTATTTGCCTAAAATAATATTTATGTTTCACGGCAAATGCATATAGCCTTCAATTTTGTAAAGTCTAAGTTACAATTGTAGCAGTAACAGATTTCTGTGACAGTCGGGTTTTTTCCCCATTGTCTATTCTTAAAGGCCTATTTATTTGCAGTGCTTTGATTTAGTTGTTTTTTTAACGTTCTTTTATAGCCTGTCATAACTATCTGCTGAGAAAAAGAAAGCTACTTTCCTTCTATTTGCAGAGGATATAAAAATATTTATATCTTACGCTAATACAGTACGTTTTATGGGACATCTTTTCCTCACGGGACTCACTTGAAAGCTCTCCACACCTCCCCTAAGAGAACGATCTTTACTTTAGTCCCTTCGTCTTCATTTTCTGTCATCATCTGAAAATCAAATAAAAGGCTTTCTCTTATTATTTAAAGGAGCTCCCCTTGTTTCCTGTGCGAAGCGCACGTTCATCGTCGTATATCAGCACGGATAAGTCAAGTCGCTCCATCACCGCTAGACCACCGGCGAGAACACTGAGCTCTGCCCGGGTCAGCTGCGCTCTGCCCGGCAGCGGGAGGAGGAGGAGGAGGCAGGGAGGGTCGGTCATTAGAAAGATAAAGTGGACCCTGGATTCCCATGCGCTGCGAGAATATGGCTAATTGTTTTGTTGGACGTCTGCCCAAACCTCTCTTTTATAGTCTTGAAGTCTCTTGAGAAGGAACATTGGCATGTGGTCTAGATGCACATACTCTAAAAACAGTCAGATAAGAAAGTGCGTGTGTGCGTGTATGTGTGTGTCAGCTGAAGTTTATGATGCGCCTTAGTTCTTAGTTGGTTTGAGACGGCTAAAGTTAAACCGCTCGTGTCTGGACTGTATCTGAGCTGCTGTGTCACGCTTCACTAAAAACTCCTTTCATTTAATATTTTTTTCCAGTGGCCTAAAAACTGTTTATACTTGACATGAAACAATACAGAAAATAAATGGCCAGATTCTGACCTTGAGCTGATAATAAGACTAATGATCTTTTAAAAGATGTTAAAAAGTTCCTATTTTGAGGAATGTTATAGTGGAAGAATCTGTATCAATCATGCCACATTTCAGCACTCAGACTCTGAACAGCGACTAAAGAGCTCTGTCAGTCTCGCTACTGGCACATCAGACTCTAGAATAGCTAAATTGCTGCACAATTTGCTGGCTCAAATAGTGAAATAAAACAGATACACTGAAAAAACATTTTTGCGAAATTGTTGTAAACAATTTATATGGCCTCGAATTTAAACAAACGGATTTGGGAACGTTCAACTTAACTTGTTTGTTTAATTTCAGCCCAAACCAATTGTTTGCATTACTTTATAAAAATGTAGTAAATCCAATGAATATTTTATTCAGTGTACTTACAAAACTGCTTTGCGGTCGTGCAAGAGAATATTAAAGGGACCATTTACGCATCCTCAAGTAAATACAAACCTTTATGAGTTTTTCAGCACAAATGAAGATATTTTGAAGAATGTTAAAAATGTTATATTTTTTCTAGTTTCCAAAATTCTGCTGTTCTTGAAATTATTTTACGAGAAATTATGAATTAGAACAAAAACTAACCAAATGAGATTGAAAAGATAAAGTTTAAATCTAGAAACGTATAAGTCAATATAAAAACTGTTATTCCAAAATAAATCAATTATTTGAAGAGTTCAGATGCAAAAACCTCTAAATGCCATCTGAAAATTTCTTCTAATATGAGCATTTTCCACAAGCTTCTGTGTGTATGTTCAGCAAATTCACTATTATGGCAAATATAGGTTCTTTGCATTGCCTTTAAAGTAAACAAACTAAACAAATATATTTGAGGCTGAGGGAAAATGCTCATTCTAGAAAACTTCAGATGGCAATTTAAGGATTTTGCATCTGAACTCTAAATATTTATTATTATATAATCTTTTTTTCTGGTACGACCATTGTGTTAATATCCAGTTATCAAACAGCCTATAATTCATTGCTGGAATCAAATATAAATTCTGAAATGAAGTTTAAAATGAGACTTCTGCAATTGTTTTTCTTTTTTATTTTATTATTATTATATATTTTTGTCATTTTTACAAATTTTGTATTCACAAAATAATATAATAAAAGATAATAAAAAAGAATCAAATATTATAATATTGTTATGGGGTTATACATTACACTATTTAATATTTTTCAGAACTTTTTACAGACGTATGATTAGTCTTTCTAAATTGTATAAAATAAATGTTGGGTTTCACACAGTTCCTTAATGCTGTCACAACACAACTCTAGTAAGTTAACCTGGACGTATCTACAAGTTGAAGTGGATTAAACATAGAACAATTAAGTTGTCCCGAATTGCGTTATATTAAAATTAAACAAACAGCAAAAGTCATCTTTAGTGCATTTTTTAATCTTTGATGAATGTGTTGTTTGGAACTTTCTAAGTATTTTGTAAAACTAAGTGACATTTTCTGAGTGATTACTTTTTAGAAACGTTATCATGAAGTCATCCATTTTTATAAACTAAACAAAACTGTAATGTAAATGGGTTCAAAGAAAAGAATACATTTTTTAGAAACTATTTTCAAATACTTTATCATAGTTTACGTCATTAACACATTATAAAATATTTCTTCTTTAAAAAAATAATGAATTCGTAATATTAGTACTTTACTCTCTGTATGGACCTTCGCGCATCTCTGGATTAGCGTTTGCGGATGCATTTAACCTGCAGGTTGTTGTAGTCACTATGTCCTGCAGATGGAGCTATAATACAGTTCGCAATACATCTGAACTGTGGCACCAATATTAATGCATGAATATATTGTGGAAAATGACCACTGGGTGGCAGTAAAACTACAGACAGGCAGTTTTATCTCTTACTCTTTATCATTCCAAATCAATTTCTGCTCGAGGCTTTCTGGTGTCAGCGTCTGTATCTACATGTGCGCATACATGCAATAATTTCAATTACAGAAAAACTAAGATAAAGCTGTAAAATAACACACCAAAAAGCACATGAGATTAAAAAAGCTTGTTTAAGTGAAGTCT